TCCAGGGGGGCAGGTAACTGCCTCACTCACGACATACTCACATCAGCACTGTAGCTTCTGTATCAGGCAGTGACCGCAGCATAAGGGAAGCTTCATTATTTTTCCTTCATTTGTTTTCATAGGGGAAGGCCCTCGTAGAGGTGGAAGTGTGCCAATGACTTGAGGAATGCTTCTGATTGCTTATGTTTCGATTTTGTTTTCCTTGTTGTCGTTTCTTTTTTGTGCCCTGCCGGAGAGGCAGGGTGGATTCCACAGGGGCCAGGTAACTGCCTCACTCATCACATACTCACATCAGCACTGTGGCGTTCTGTATCGGCCTGCGCTAGCAGCATAAGGGAAGTTTTTTTTCCCTTTGTTCTTCATTTGTTTTCCACGAGGACAGACTCCCTCGCTGAGGGACAGTCTCACCAGCACCTCATAGAATATACCTGATGGCTACGACACCGTTAGGGATGTTTCTTTTTATTTTCTTCTTCTTTCTTTCCTTTTTTTTGGTTGCTTTTCGGATGTAGCTGCCGTGAGTACCAAGAAAGAAAATACAATGGGACCCAGGCTCGGCAAAACTTGGTGTGTCGTGAAAATCAGGCTCGGCAAAAACAGGATCGCAGGTGCCAGAGAAAGGAGACTGCGGAGAGAAGCCAGAGAAAGGACGACATTGCAAAGGGCTAGGGAAGCAGCAGCCAGCACCGAAAGGGCACTATCTAGTGCCAACGCTGAGGCAGCCATGGCTACCGCCTCTATCATGTCACAGGCCTTATCTCAGGCCTCTTCGTCAAGTGTCAGTCAGGGTGTCTCCCAGGTTTTCGTTAGTCAGTCTGTTGGCTTAAAGGTCAGCCAGGTCCGCCAGCTACAGGGCCATGCAAGCTCTACCTGCCTCACGTAGCCAAACAACCATCGCCCTGCCATCTAATCGGATGAGGCTTAGCCCGGTAGGCCCAGTAAGCCACACCTCTAGCCGCGAATCCGGCGTGAGGCCCTTGTGCAATGTCAAATATCACGACCCAATAAAAATAGGTGACTCATCTCTCCTCGTCGCGGTCTTCTACCCGACGTGTCCATCCTTTTTAGCCTTGTTAGGCTCTGAATCGCGAGGCTTAGCAGTCGGGCGTCATTATTTTAGGTAGAGTAGGTCTAACTTTAGTGTTCCCATGCCTGCATGCCTCTGCGGTCCTGCTAGAAGCCGCCAACTATTACCATTATTCTCGAACGCAGCAGGCGTCCGAACTAAAATTTTAGTCTCTCGCTCATAGGCTTAGTCTGAATAAACTTTTGGCAGCCGTCATCCCGTCAAGTCCTTCAATTCAACGAAAAAGTCGAACAGCGTCCGACGTTTAAAAACCCCAGCAAATACCCTTGTCAGGGTATTTGCTCCAACAACGTGTGCTGGTAGGTGGCGAACGAATGTCCTCATTAACATTCGGTTTGACACAGTGATACCTGGCTTAGTGAGATGTCAGTGTGATTCTGTCTTCGAAGCATGTGTTCAACTATTGGGTTCCCTCTGTGATTTACAATTCTAAGTTCTCATCCGCGCATAATGCTGATTGGAGAATGAAGATGTGCCTATAAGCAGACGGTGAGAGGCTTACGTGCGAGTAAGGAGAGAGAAAGATTGAGCTAACCGCAATTGCCGCTTGTAATCATCTATAACAGTTCGCAATCATACGACATCCTGTGTTGGGTTGTATGTCCAACTCGCACCTTTTGCAGGGGGGGCGAGCTTGTAGAATGGGAGCTTAACCAAGTTAAATGGTTGGTTGAATGTTCAACGTTTGAAGCTCTCCTTTTGTTGTTGTTTACATAGATGGAGGTTATGTGGCTAATGCAGCACATCTATTAGACAATATTGTAACTTGTAAGGAGTCGTGTTGGGTCTCGCCGAAAATCACTTGTGTTCTCATTAGATCACAAAGGGGATGCTTTACCTGAGCATAAGCAGAACCATTTTTGAGCGGCGTGACCATCAGTTGGTTGGGAGACGAGGTGTGGCGAGTCAGGAATATAAATTCAGCTTAGAAAGGGGATCGCTGATGTGATTCGGAGAAGTTGTCAAGAAGTCAGCAGTTGACGGATTGACTTCGGTTGACCAAGTTGCAGTGCACTCTTTGGTCATCATTGTGGGGCCATCAGGCGATTGAAGATTACAAGGCCCTCTTTTGAGAGTTGAGTTGTCCCCCTCCTAAATTTCAAGTGTTTGAAACCCCTCATTTTGCCCTTCTTACTTTACGTCTTATCCTATTACGAGAGGAAGGCGGGAGGCGGGATTGCAACCCATAGGACCACAGCAAGATTACGTGGGAAGTTTGCCCACCGATTGCGGGAGCTCTGCCGGAACTCAGGAGGACTTCTAGAGTCAAGGAACTGACAGGTAAAGGTTTCATCCTCCTTCTATAAACTAGTTATATCCTCTATTTGTACATCCTTCTACAGTTTGACTAAGTGTATTGCATGCACCCCATTATTCATTTTGAGTTTGATTTTTGGAATATAACTCTGATTTAAGTAAAGAAAGGTATGCGCAAGCTTACTTTTAGTTTTATTGTTTGACTAAAAGCAGACTGTGAAAGGGGCTGCATCTGGGGGAAAAGATGGGAGAAAGGTAGTATTGTCTGTGTCTGACTAGGTCAACCAAAGATCGGGAGAGTCTCCATAAGTTTGGAGGGTTCAGTGCTATGTTTATTTTGATCGCCTGAAAAACCAAACAGGTTTTCATAAGATTGAATGGTCTGGTTGCTCTGACTTGCAAGGACTGCTTGTGATTGGTTTTTTCAGGGACCAAGCACGCTTCCATAGGATTGGATGGCTTGGTTGTCTTGCTTCATTTGGGTTTTTCTTGTTTTATAGGTTTCTGAATAGAATTTAGCATATTCCATAAGATTGGATGACGCTAACTCTCCTTGTTTTATTTTGAGGGAAAATTCAGGCGAAGGACTTGACAAGTTTCATAAGATTGGATGGTCTGGTCTGGAGCCACGTACATGCTGGAACCAGATGGATAAATTTGTTTACTCTTTTATACTATTTTACTTATAAACAAGCTAATCAAACCTGTTTCCATAAGATTGGATGGTATGACTATAGTTTTAATTATTAGCTTATCACAAACTAAAGAGAGTATAAATTACGAGTAAACTTGTGGTAAGAAGGGGCAGGTTGAATTTTGATATAAGATGAAGGGGTCAGTCATATCTTGCCTTAAAAAACTACGTGCATGCATTTATATATAATTTTGATACTCTAAACAGTTCGGGGCGACTAGGTTGGACAGCCTATTCATTTGCTCAAGGGAAAGAAAAGTTGTAGAGAAAAGAAAAGAAATGATGGAAGACTTCAGACACACAGACAGCTGGTAGCGACCACACTGTCCACACACAGCATTCTTTGCGGTGAGGCAAAAAAAAAGAAAAAAAAAAGAAAAAAGAAAGAAAAGAAAAAGACATGACCCTCGGCACCCAAAAGAGCGTTTACATGTGTCCAAGGCGCAGGCCAACTGACACTGGTGTGGTAATTTCGTGCAGAGCTAGCATGAACCTGCCCTCTTTTTCATCCAGATTCGGAGGCAATGTTAACCTCAAATGAATTCTTCATTTCACGCAATCTATCGTAGTCGGCATAAAATTCAAGATTTGATTTGAGGGAGGGGGAAATCCACGTACGCTATGGTCTTCCCCCGAATACAACGTGCGGTCATTATAGCTGTATTTAGACAATGTTTCAGTTTAAATACAGCTATAATGACCGTACGTTGTATTCGGGGGAAGACTGTAGGAATAAAAACTTCAACAAAAAAAAGGAAAAAAGAAAAAAGAAACTCGGAATCTACCACACTGAATTTCATTAAGATTCCAGGAGGACATGGAGGAGGGGGGTGGGGGGGGGG